AGATATTTATAGCCTCGGAAACCCTATACGGGGTCACTGTGAGTTGGAGCCAAGTCTACAATGCTCAGCAGCATCCCAGGCTATAGCTAGAGATTAGATTTCCCAGGTCTTTAATTCTGTGGCATCCTTGGTGACTCTGTAGGAGAAGCACTGGACACGTAACTTCAAGCTTGGCAGTTCAAACCCACCAGCCGCTCCACCAGACATTAATTATCCATCTTAATATCTGATTAAAACTCTTGAGGCCATTCTCAAGATTGTAGGCACATTCTACTCGATGGCATTTGACAACAACAACAACATAGATTTATGTGTTTATAATTTAGTTATGTCTCGTGCTGACAGCCTGCAATATAATATTTAAAATTACAGTCAATATACATTTAGGTAGCATTTTGTAAACTCGGTAGAAAAGGAAATCCTTGATTAATGTCATGTTTTAAAAGTATATAATCTCTTTTCCAGGATGTAAGCCTGAACAACAGATGATGTATGCTGGGAGTAAGAATAAACTAGTCCAAACAGCTGAACTAACCAAGGTAGTCTTTTATTTGACTTGCTTTTGTAACAGTGTTTTCCCTTAAAACACATTACTGAGGGAGAAAAAAGATTATGTAATCTAAGACTTTGCTCTTTTTTTCATGATGACCAGGTCTTACAGTACTGTTTTTATTTTCGAGTTATATACTTTTTAAGTACCTGCAGAGTATAAATAAAGCAAGAACTAAACTAATCTGAAGGGCTAAATGTTTTATGTAGTTGATTTAGAACAGAACAGTAAACTAGTCAAAGCTTTTTGTTATGTGAAAATAGGACTGTAGAAGGCTTTGAGTCAAAAGGTGTTTTTTGGATTGGGAATTATAAATTGATTAAAACATCAATTTTCATTTAAACTCTAAGCAGCTTTAGCAAAGCTACTGTTAATATTTAGTTTTTTGAGAGATCTTTATCTTCCATAATGTAATTACTAGTTGATAAAATCGTCTACAGCTGGTATTGCCATAGGACCCTCAAACTAAGGAGCACCTGTATAAACTTTTGTTCCTATTAGCTATACTGATTTTAGCTGCATATACTTACGGTGTTCTTTTAGAGCTGGTGTGGGAACTTATTTTTCTGTCAAAATTTATAACATCATTTGCAGGCTATACAAAATTATCTACTTAATAGCTTGCTATATTTGGTCAACCATTAACTCACCACTAAGATGATGGATGGAACTGCTGTTGCCTTGGCAGGGCCAGATCAAATGATTTCAAGGGCCTTATATGGCCCACAGAGTCCTGGTGTGGC